TTCTTTCAATTAGGCAACCCCGAGATTCAACTGAATTTTCTCAGAAGCCTTCTGGGTTTTTCTGGGCTATTCTACAGGTGAGCAAAATTGAGTCATTTTACAAAATTCTGAATACATATAAGTAACTCATAGAATCAAAATGCTGGACATTTGTCACGTCCAGTCTGTCGTCCTTGCTTTGGACAGGACCACATCTTAAATCCCCCAGGCCCATCAGCCTAGTTATTTTCGCGTTCATTACAAGCAGGATGATCTAGAAGAAACGGCTTTAAAGGGGCCAGGGGGCTTGTCCATTTCCTGTGTCCCAGAAGACTTTGACGTTGCTACTTCCTAGAGTATCGGAGTATGTTTTCGGAAAACCAAAGGTAGTCAAAGACTCCTGAGAATGAAAATCCCATGAAAACAATTTCTCAGTTTTTGACTTAAAAATTTTTAGTAACAGGAAAAAGGGTCACACTGGCACCAAGTGATCCCGGAGAAGAAGTACTGGTGCAAAACTACCTCACCTCATGAGCTCCTTGAATGTTCCGAGAGAAAAGCCAGCCGCGTCTCTGGCCCTAGGGTCTCACTCACTGACACACTGAAGCTGAGAAGAGGACACCCATCTGCCAGATGCCATGACTTCTGTCCTCAGGAGGGGCTGAGCAGGCATCATGTGCATTCGGCCTGGCCCCTGAGTCCCGCTCTGCTGTCTCTGCCAACTGGACAAGCTGAGGTTGGACAGAGTGGGTCCAGGCATAACAGTGAATACTGGTTTGGGGCTACACAGAGAAGAGTGTGGGTACAAAAACTACCTTGCTTTTGGTGACAAACTAAACATTGTCAAGTGATCTGAACCCTGGTGGCGATTGAACCCTGGCCAGAAAGAGCTGCTGCAACTCCAGTGCCGCTCTGGGGTAGATGGCTGTTTCAGTCAGAGCTGCTGTTCTAGGCTGCCACGGGATGGCCGTCATTCAGTTACCTGATTTGTCCTTCATGGACCTGACAGGGGTCTCGGAAGCTATGCCCCTCTGTCTCTAGTTCTCTGAGAAATGGAGCTGGGAGGTTTGGGGACCCTCCCTCTTATTGCCACGTGGTTCCTGCTCTCTGCTCAGGGACACCGTCTTTGGAGAACAGCAGCAAAGTCACCCCTTCCCACGTGAACCTACTGGAAACATGGGCCCCTCTTGGAGAAGGGGATGGAAGAGCTAGCCACGATGAGCAGAACCAGACGTCCATGTCCTGTATACCAAGAATACGAGAGCCGCCTGAGGTCAGGCCGTGGGACGTGCTCCAGGTCCGTGGAAAGACACTGGCAGCCGGCGCCGCCGCCCCCAGCCGGCCACCCTTTGGCGCTTGCCCCTCGCGGCTCCTCCCGCCCCGTGCACCAGCTCCTGTGCACCAGCTCCCGCCGGATACTTCCCTGAGATGTCCATGTGCCTTGCTGCCCTGGGTCTGTCAGGCGTCTTAGCAGAGAGCCCTCCGCCGCCACACTATTTCAACAGCAGTTTCCTTCCCCGGCCCTTCCTGTTTCCCTCGCGCTCACCTGCAGCAGACATGGTCAGCAGGGACTTGTTGGTAGTCTGAGTCCTTCACCACGAAGGTGAGATATTGTTCTGTTCACAGCTACAGCCCCAGGGGCACTCAGCTGGTGCTCAGCAAATACAGGCTGAGGAAGTGAGTCATTAGAGTCGTGCGCAAACGGAACGAAGCGTCTCTGAGGCTGGGATTGCCCTGAACCCTACCAACGTTGGCGCATATGGGGAGTCCCTGTGCTGTCCATCGCTTGCTTCAGGAATTAAATGCGCCAGAGGAATTCTCGAAGTGCAGTTCACATCCCTTGTGTGGCAGAACCAGCTGCTCTGGGATTTGAGCATGATGTTGTCTCCCTGAGCTGTGCCTTCCTGATCACTCAACAGGAATGACGCTGCCTGCTGGCCTCCTACTTCAGTGCTGCTGTGAGGAGTGAATGCAGTGACACCTACAGAGTCGTGGTGATGTGTGTGTGTGTGGGGGGAGGCCCTGGCCAGACACCCCAGCAGCTCCCTGTGCTGGTCTTTCTCCCACTGCAGGTAGCTGCCATCACCTGGTCTCTTTTTGCTGCTATATTTGCTCTCAGCCATTCCTCCCCGGCTCATGTCGCTGGTCTCTACTGCCCCCATGTCATCCTATCTCAGGCTTTGTGCAGCTGTGCAGTTTATCAAGCTTTGCTTGAGTCATTCTCTCTAAAATGCCATCCATCATCTTTCCAGCTGGGAATCTATCGAGTGGAAGACAGATGACAATATTTTACTTAGTGCTTTACTACGTGGAGAACCTTTACACATAAATTATCTTATTTGATTGCTACTAAGTTTGGGGAGTATTCAGGAAGCCTGTTTTAAGGTGAGGAAACTGAGGTCGGGGCAAGTGCGTGAGCTCCTGTGTACCTAGACCTGCTCAGCGCTTGTGGCTGCTCTTGAGTTCATCATTAGGAAGGGTGATGGGGGGCAGCCCAGGCCCCAGGCCCCTGCAGGACACTCCACTGGTCCTCCCTCGTGGGCCTGAGCCACCCCACTCTTCTGACGGGTGCACATCTACTGAAGAGTCGAGACCACGTCCCCCAGTTTGTTAATGAGTCTCATGCAGGTAGAGTTAGCAGCTGGGCTGGACCCACTGCTGCAAACCAGAGCTCGCACATGCCGCGGGCTCAGTGGGCGGGAGGCCCTTCTAAATAGGGTTTTTCTTACCTCCTGCTTCGTGGGCCTGAGCCACCCCTCTCTTCTGACGGTTACACATCTACTGAAGAGTCAAGACCACGTCCCCCAGTTTGTTAATGAGTCTCATGCAGGTAGAGTTAGCAGCTGGGCTGGACCCACTGCTGCAAACCAGAGCTTGCACATGCCGCGGGCTCAGTGGGCGGGAGGCCCTTCTAAATAGGGTTTTTCTTACCTCCTGCAAACTGCAAATTGATGATTTGAGATACATATTCAGGATTATCATTTCCAAAGTGCAAGCTCTAATTTTCGGGCATGTGGCCAGACTTCTCTATCTAAGTGGTTGCTACTAGCCTGTAATTATTTTTGGCCCAGTCTTTTAATACCTTGAGAGTAATAAGCTTCGTGTCTTGTAGGAGTGAACATATCTATTTTAAAAGTTGTGTTATTTTAAGAGACTATGTGCAAAGCACCTTGAAGGTAGGTAAGGACTATTATCCTTTTTCTATTACCTGGGTGAAAGTGGGCTGTTTTTTTGTCCCTTTTAATCCATTTAAAAAGTGTCTGCTTCTGTGATTCATCTAGGAGCCAGACCGGTCATGTAAACACACTCAGCGTTCTGAGCCACATTTCCAGTCCTTGTGCCATGCTGTGCCTAGGTCAGTGGTCATCAAAATCCCATTAGCAGTAAGCATGGGGCTGGGCAGAAATAATCTTTCTGCCTTCCCCACCAATTTTTTCTGGTGACAGAGGCTTTTCTGTAAGTGGGGCAGAAGAATCCCAGAATGGTAGACAGACACTGTTAACTTACCTGTTTGGTGTTATAATATCTAAAATATTGATGTGCTTACACAAAAATTGCTATATGTGAAATTTAAAATTTGCTATTCTTTTAAAAACTATCAGATTTTTAAAATTTATTGTATGAATTAATTATATTTTAATTTTTTAAATAATATTTGAGACATTACAAAATTACTTTAGCTACAAGCATGCTAGTAAAGCTATTATTTATGATTACAAAATGTTTTTACAATGCTATTCTTAGCAACAGGAAGATGTTCACCCTCACTGAAGTATTTTGAGTACCATTTGTTGGAAGCCATATCAAGCATACTAATATTAGGAATCAGTTTCTCCTACAAAACTGCTACATAGTTATCTAAACCTTAGTTTCTATCTTTTCCAAATGTCTATTAGTTCTATTTTCATTTAAAAAATTGGATGCTGACGAGGGAAGCAAGCAAACTTTTGAAGTGGATAAAACTCGTTTTTAATCAGCAGAATTTAGAGGTCCAGTCTTTCAGTCTGTTCTTCCAAACCAGCAACTCCCTCCTCCCCCCACCCCAATTCATTCCACACCATTAAATTGCAGTGTGGCAGTGAAATTCCCAAGCCACCTCTTTAAACCAGCGTTCCTTCTGACACCGGCTACCATTCACCATGTAATGGGAAAAGCAAACGTTGTAAGGGAAGGGAGGGCGTGTGGAGCCGGCCTGTCGCAGGTGCTGGTTGATGGCCCTTCCAGTCTGCAGTCCTCGTGTGATTACACCAGCATTTTTGAAATGAGGCCATTTGCTATCATGAGCCATCACTAAGAACTTCTAGCTTGTCTCACTTGGGAGAGGCTGCAACCTTGTCGTGTGCCACAAACCACACGGTGCAGAAACTCTCAGCTGCACTGCCAGTTACTCATAACCAAAAGGCCATAGTCTAATTAAGTTACAGTATCTAATCACGCACCATTTACATATCACAATCTGAGCCTTTGAAATAGGAGGAACATCTAATGGTTTCCAGAACATCTTAGATCAAAAGAACCCATCTTACTTTAAAGTGTTCACTTAAAAAAAAAAAAAAAAGAAAATAGAGTTTGAAGCATTAGGTAACTTTGTCCATTGTTAGAGGTTAAAACTTCCAAAGTAAATAAAAGAACCAAGATTCTCTATGTTTACCTTCAACTCAGGGAAAACTGACAAAGAGAACCCAGGAGGGACACCCAAACCTCAGCGCCCTCTTCAGAACCTGGCTTTTCTCTCCTGTCCTTAGAGATAGAGAGACAGATGCCAGTGGCCTTTGTTTAAAATATCAAAGTACCTTACACCAGTAACCCCTGCCAGCACGGGGTCTCACCGGAACTAACTTTAGTACCAATTAATGCAGGCATAGAATTAGGCCTTCGTTTGGAAACTTTAGGAGAGAGAGGCATCTGGAGTTTCACGTGAGGCCTACAGGGGCTTCAAGTGATTGCGTTTAGGACCAGAATCTTTGTCTTGGGGAATGCTGGTGACTGAGCCTTGACAGCTAAGCACAGGGTGCCTCAACCTTTCATGCTGTCTATCTTTCATCTAACAGTGAGACAAAGTGTTAAACTGGTTTTTTGGACTTCCCAGAACAATATCTAATTAGCAAATAACACAATTCAGTGACATTTAGCAGTATGCAAATTCCAGACACTGCGATCATGAACACCGTGAAGACAGTCTTCTCCGTGGGCCTAGAAACAAAGCAGTCCACCGTATTGGGACAAGGCCAGGCGTTACACTTCACCAGACGCTGCATGGAGAAGCCGTCGTACATAATGTAGAAGACATACATGAAGACAGCTTCGAAGACGACGCGGAAGAAGATGCTGCTGGTGTAGGTCCACCACAGGGACCCTTCGATACGCACTTTCTGGCTTTTGATCTCTTCGATGTCCTTAAATTCACTCTTTATCTCCCCCTTGATGAACTTCCTTTTCTTCTCGTGTCTGTAGTAGGCCACGTGCATGGCCACCAGCAGCGCCGGCGTGGACACGAAGATCAGCTGCAGGGCCCACAGCCGGATGTGGGAGATGGGAAAGTAGTGGTCGTAGCACACGTTTTTGCAGCCGGGCTGCAGGGTGTTGCAGATGAAATCCGCTTGCTCGTCTCCCCACACCTCCTTTGCGGCCACCACGAGGATCATAATGCGAAAAATGAAGAGCACAGTGAGCCAGATCTTTCCAATACTGGTGGAGTGTTTGTTGACACCCCCCAGGATACTCTGCAGTGTGCTCCAATCCATCTTCTCCTCTGGGCGGTTTGCACTGGAAAAGACAAACAAACCCAACACAGGAATCACTCATCCGATCAGAATCTGGAGATTTCCCTGCGTCTGGTAAGTAAGTGCTCTTAAATCTCCTCCTGAGCAAACACCAACTCTTAGGAAACCTCACCAAAAAAGGCGAAAACAATTTGCCATAAGATTAAATGTATAATTCCCAAGCCATCCCGAACATGTTTTTATGTGTTCTCTAATAAAGAGTAGTTTGTTCACCTGAGCAATTCGCCCAATCTTTAGCACACAGTAAAAATCTGGAGTGTGGGGGAGCACCAGGAACAAAGCATTCGTTAGTTTAAAGGCACTCATGAGGTCTGATGGAGCCCACTGAATCCCCCGTGGATACTCCTGGCTAGTCCTGACTCTGCACAACTTACTCAGTGTTCTGCAGGTGGATCCATGTGCAGCCTCAAGTTCTGGACTGTCCCAAAATGATACCAGGTTGGCCAACCTTGTCTTAAAGGCTGAGAGGCCAAGACAGGCGAGTCGCGAGGTTAGGAGGTAGTTAGTGTACAGAAGCCCACCTAATCCAGTGTTGCATCATGTCCCCGCAAAGACTTTAAAGGCTGAGAGGCCAAGACAGGCGAGTCGCGAGGTGAGGAGGTAGTTAGTGTACAGAAGCCCACCTAATCCAGTGTTGCATCATGTCCCCGCAAAGACGCTTTCCTTAAAACATTTCCATTAATTTTCATGGACTTGAGATGCAGCCGTGAAACAGTCATCACTAGCATTGGTTAAGTTTATATTTGAGGCACCCCAAGTTAAAATTTCACAGAGGGCCTCGCTTTCTTCTTCCATATGAAAGGAGGAGGTTAGGGCTGTCCTCTCCATAAAGGAGAGCCACGATGTGTGTGGATTTCTGTGTGTTTTGCGTATGGGTTGGTGGCCCCATTGTCACCTGGGGCTGCCTAGGACTGACTGCTTTGCTAGTACTCAGACACCTGTTTTGATGAGTGTTGCAACTTGTGCATTTTTATTCTGTTCATCCCAGGATATGAACTGTCCTCATTGATTCATAGCTACACCCCGTCTGTCACAATCAATCCCTCCTCTAAGCAGGATTCCAGCCTCTCCACCATCCTCATGAGTCACCTGTTTTCCACCCCTTCAAAGCTGGTAGTGAATCCTCCTCCTCCTACTTAAAAGCATCCCGCTCGCTTCATCTTAGGCGAGTTATGTCCTGTTTGCGGATGGGCTCTGAAGCGGGCGCAGAATGAACCTTTCATCACCCACAGTTGCTGCTGTGGGGCACCAAGCTCTGCTGAAACCGTCAGTGCCACAAGACACGGGCACAGAAGTTACATCAGATTGAAATACACTCGTGAAACATTTAGCCCTAATCAGTTTGAAAAACAGAAACATCACTGGAAAACACAGTGCTTTCGTCCTGCGGGGTTTTGCCCTGACCCATTTAAGTCCAGACTGCCCGGGCTGCCCGTGGGTGAGCAGGTCGCCTCGCCAAAGCGCCCACAGCTCAGGCTGCTCCCTCCCCAACAGCAGAACCACCGAAAGCAACGACGTTCAGGTTGTAACAAAACCGTCTTATGGAATTGGACGCTCCCGTTCTTCGTTGGCAAGATCTTGCCAGTGGAAAGCAGGGCGCTCGCCCCTGGTTTGCGTCCGTGCACCCGGCCCAGAGCGCGCGGTGGGCTCTGCCCGCTTCCCACCCCCAGACGCGGGTCCCGCGCCATCTACAATCACCGTCAGGTGAGGCGACACGGCCCCAAAACCGCCCCGCGCTGTTGCTTCTTTAAAGCTTGGGCTGCCCGTTTAAGGGTCTGTTCGGGAAGAGGAGTACATTGAAATTTGACCCCAGTGGGATCGAGGCAACAGGTGCGACCGAAGACGCGCGGCGGGGACAGGCTGGGGCCGCGGCTGTCGCTTCCA